GCAATGGTCGAATTCAAGCCGGCTAGTCATGCTTGTCGAACGAATGAGCATGATTGGTTCTTACCTATGTATCCAACCAATCATATTTAAATACTCGGCAAACAAACTATAAAGGTGCGATTTCACGCTGACGCTAGACGCTCATTTTCAGCGTCAAAACAGGTCACGTGATCAAAATTGACGCTCGGTATTCGTCAATTTTGATCATGTGACCTGTTTTGACGCTGAAAATGAGCGTCGAGCGTCAGCGTGAAAAGGCACCTTAAGCCGCTTTGTCGATTTGGGCTGCGGTCCACTTGACGCTACAAACGCTTCGAAGCGTTTGAGCAACCAATCAGAACAAAGAATTTTACAAATTGACTAATCAAAAACGCTTCGAAGCGTTTGTAGCGTCAAATGGACCGCAGCCTTGAATGCTCCCACTTCTTTCAAAATACTTGCAGAAAATATTTTCTGCCGGTGTTAAGGGTATAGCTACACAAACTTGCATAACCGCATAAACGTATGCATAACGAAAATTATCCAATCACATTTTACGTGTGTCTTTATAAAAGAAATACGATTGGATAATTTTCTTTATGCATATGTTTATGCGGTTATATAATTAAGTTTGTGTGGATATATTCTAAGTCGACGCTATAAAATTCAAAAATTTAATGTTATTTACTATTATCGGTGATCATTATCCCTTATTTTATTCAATAAAATAAAATAATTGTGAACTTCCAATTAAGCAACCGAATCTGGAAAATCGTATTTTAAAATAATTATATTATAATTCAAAAGTGCGCGCGCATTTATTTAAATTTCAAACCCATTGAACTTGAAACTTGAAACCGGCTTTGACCGGCTCAACCGGCTGTGAAGCATACTTGTAACACATATTACCAGAGAGGTTTCTCTCTGATATTACTTACGAACAAATGTTTGCATCATATTACTTACGAGCTAAATAATGAATAAAATAATTGCAGGATGATTAGAAATAATGTACGGAGACTGAGTCTCCTTGTCAGGTATGTTTCTTAATATTCAATTGAAATTCGACATCTCTAACCTGCAATCTTGTTACAATATAACCTAACTTCTTCCAGAGAATACCAATATAGTTGTTCTTTACCGAGAATGACGCCGAAATGTCCAACGTGGTTTGTTAAGCGATCTGTCTCGAGTGTCAGTGTGAGATTTATTAAGAATATCAGTCGGAGATGGCGACTCATCGTCCCAACTGGAGTAGGCTTCTCGCTGCTAGTAGTAACACAATGGAATTATTTACACCAGTATGGATATCGGATTGATATAGATGATGGGCCAGAATTGCTGAATGATGTTATGGTAATGGAGAGCCGTTTATATGTTAAGTTATGTTAAATGTAAAATTAATATGGATATAAAGTTTTCTCGCTGTAGGTAACTTGCTATTGTTGCTTGCCATTGAGGACAACTAGTAGAATATGGGGCTGGCTGACGAGCATCGAATTGCCGGTTGGTCTTAGACCAACGCTGTATGGATTTTATGCGAATATTTTTCACGCCGATCTAGACGAGATAGAGCTGGATTTATCTGCGTTTCCAAACCTAGTGGAATTTTTTGTTAGAAAACTCAAGCATAATGCCAGACCAATTGCTCAAAATGCAAATATGGTAAACATTGATTATAGATTTTTATTTATAAATATAATCTGAACTTACATGGTTCATCTTTCCTCCTTTTCTCTTTACTTTGAAAAAAGAAGAGAAAAGAACTATGCAAGAAGTTTAGCTACAAAGAACAAACCTTTTACCTTAATTCAAACTTACATAAGTATTAAAAGGTCTTTTTAGTTCAACTTCTTGCACAAGCTTATCTCTCTTTTTCTTTTCATGTTGGAGAAAAAAAGAAAAAGTGCAGCTAAAAAGAACAGATCTAATATGAATATCTGGCAAATTCTCTCAGATTTCACCTGCAGATGGCAAGGTGCTTTATTTTGGACCAGTGACTTCTTGCCGCGTGGAACAAGTGAAAGGAGTAACATACGATCTCAGACAATTTCTGGGTGATCATTTGAACGATTTCACATTAAATGAAATCACGAAAAAGACGACACAGGATAATTATGTAAAGTCACTTTTGAAGAATCCTGACAATAGATTGTATCAACTGATCGTTTACTTAGCACCTGGCGATTATCATCGGTTCCATAGTCCTACCGATATGATCATAAAATTTCGACGGCACTTTCCAGGTATACCTTGTCTCTTTGAAGTTTTAAGATTACAATGTGCTTTTTGCTTCCTGTTTTTTACTTTTCACTACTTTTTACTTGCCGTTTTTTTCTCTTTTTTTGTTTCTTCGTTTCTTTTGTTTCTCTCTTCTCTGTTGATTTCGGAAGAGACAAGAAACACGATTGTCGATAAAACGGCCGTGAAAAGGGAAAAAGCAAGAAACAGAAAGCACATAGTATATTATAGATTAGTCTGACCGTGTTCTGATATACACTGCCAGTACTGAAAGTCTATAGTTTATGTGTTATATGTAGTTATGTGTATTACATATAGATTTTCAGTATTAGCAGTGTATATTAAAAAACACGGCCCCTATAGTTCTTCAAGTGAAGTGTTTCTTTTATTTTTTCTAAGCAACCCATTTGTTTTTAGGAAAGCTACTGAGCGTTAATCCAAAGGTGCTCAAATTCATGCCCAACTTGTTCTCGTTAAACGAACGCGTTGTGTATGTTGGAGAATGGGCAGGCGGCTTCATGACTTATGCAGCGGTCGGAGCGACGAACGTGGGCTCCATACGAGTCTACTGCGACAAAGAATTGGCAACTAATACGGTGCACTGGCCAGAAAGCGCGCATTGGAAGGAAGCGAGTTTAGGTAACGCGCATATTGCCAAAGGCGAACTGTTTGGCGAATTCAGACTTGGATCCACGATCGTACTTCTGTTCGAGGCACCGCAAGACTTTCAATTCTCCTTGCAAATAGGTCAAACCATTAAAGTTGGTCAGGCATTAAATACATTTTCTAGTAAAGAGTCTGACAAAAAACAGCTCGAACGACACCTAATTATGAATGTCGCGCAGGATTGGAGAGATATATGGAAGCCTAGAATATAAAATAAAGCAAATAAAATTAGGAACTAATTTTATTAGAGAAATAAAGAAGATGTGTCGGCATCTTGCACGCTCGTATTTTTTTGTGCGAAATCAAATTATAGGCGCAATAAAAAAAAACACTAGAGTTATGAGAGCTCTAGAGACTCTGTTTTCTCGAGTAAGTATCGATCCTGTGATTACTTTGTACGTAATCGTGTTCGTGCGTGAGAAAATCATCATGCGACTTATCTGAAATTACATGTTAATACATCTCCCACTAATTATACTCGTTCGTTACTTTAATAGCGTAATATCAAGCATCACGCAAAAAAAACAATAGTTTATAATAGATTTGACATAGTTGATTTATTGTTACGGCCGGGTAGTACTGTGCAACACGTCTCTCCTGTGAAGCTTCACACAATCACGATTGAGAAACCAACGGAACCCCTTAATGCGAGAAAACATACTTTTCTTTCTTTGTGCGTCACCACTGATAGAGGTCGGATCGTAAACTGTTTTAGTTGCATGCCAAATCGATCTTTGTTTGCAGTTAAGTTGGCCGGTCAAGGCCGTTAGATGAAACACTTTCCTCAATTAAGGCTCTAACTCCCTTTTTTTTAAAGAAAGTAACAGTCACGTCATATATCTCAAGTTTTCACGCGTTACGAAGCACCGAGTCTTGCTGACCTCGTTATATTTTTATAGCAGTATTTTTACCAATCCTCTATCGTTAATATTAATGTTGCTTCTGAAAAATTCGTATTAAATCGGAATATCTTTTATCCCGACTTGTGTGTATCCAGCGCGCGCGAACATGACTTCGCACTAGACCAGATTGACTGTAATATGAATACTTAATACGCGCGAATATATTTTATGATATATTTTATGCAAAGTATAAATAAAAAGATTATATAGATACCACAGTTTTTCTAGATATATAATTACTTTGTCCAGATGATTTTATTCAATTACCACTCACATCCTGCACATTTTATTGTTTCATCACTTTATTGTAAATCAAATTCTCGATATTGAGATCATTCGATCAAACAACATTTTAATATTTGTACTATATATTCTGGGCACCTATTATTTGAGAGAAGAAGGATCACGATATTTTCTAGATTTAGAAAAATTATTAGCAAAATATTAATCAGGATACCTATTATGAAAATGTTTGGAGTAGATTTCGATCGGAATTATTCCGTTTTTCCCAGAAAACACAATAGAAATCTAGGGAATAATTGAACAATTCCGATTGGAATCCATTCCGAACATTCTTCCACGTCGTATATCTCAAGTTTCCTTCTTCTCTCTTGACTAATTATGCACCACATAAGCAGCAACCATAAAAGTATATATGACTATACTTTAACGTGTACTTATATACATACTTAATCCCATACAGGTATAGTATACTCTCTAAAGTAAACATAAGTGGTATAATCGATGAACAGTTAAATCGATTAACCGGAAAATCTAAAATGACAGGCAAATCAAATTGCTCATTCATATATTAAACTATTGACATCCTGTGAGTTTAAAAGAAATTCATTATACATTAATTCGTGCATGCGATTACGAATTCTAGCACGCTAATTTAAATTTATCTCCTTCGCAAAACTTCTCTTGTCTCAATTTAGGTCTAACTTCCTTGTAAATTTTGGGAGAGAGACAGTTTAAATTTATCTTTTCCGCTCACGTGAATTGTCTAAACGTAAATACATCATCCTGCGCATAGAATATCTCCGTGTCTTCTTAAACAAAGCAGCATGCATCGTCGTTTATCATTGCCAGAAGTTTAACGTTGGCCGATCTCCCGAGGAAGATACATATGAGAAAAAGGAGGAAAGTCGCTGAGCCGGCCGGCGTCGTAAACGTCAAACCGACGTTTGGCGGTTCAGTGAGCGTCGCGACGCCCGCGGCGCAGGTTGCATCGCCTTCTCTTCTTGCGGCTCACCGATAGTGCATACCGGTGCGTCGGATAGGACGTCGTCGCGCGGCACCGCCGGTGACACCGCGTGTCTGGTACATACGCGGCCGTTCGATATCTTCTCCGGGGCATCAACTCACTAAACTTGGAAGTAACTATTATGGGATGTTTGAGCGGCGGCTAAATGGGGGCCGATGGACATTTTCGCGTGACTTTGTCCCTCAAGAAGGAACCAGGTGCCGGTCCAGTCTTCTGCAAGATGGAGACGTCCGCCAGGTTCCGGCAGCTGAAGACGGTGAAGCTGAGCTGCGACACGACCTACCGGCTCGATATTAGCTTCAAGCCGCCGCAACTGCTGCAGTGGGTACAGTGAATGTGCAGTTATACATTATGTCGAGCATCTCTCTCCCTTTCCTCTCGTACTTGAATCAAATGTCAGGTTTTCTTTCTGTAGGAAGACAGTGGGGCTTCGCATTGCGTGATTCCGATGATCGATGATTTGCCGACAAGTATTGTTTAGTTGTACTTGAGAAAAGTAAACGTGTGTCAAGCCATATCTAGACGTATCGTATCTGTTATAATTTGATAGATTGTTTCAATCTTCGTTACATAATGACAATTTAACTCTATTGACCAAACTTTAATATATTTAGAATCTGCAGTCCACGTATATCTAGAACCATTCTTAGTTGAACCTGAATATAATTTATGGTCCGTTGTAATAACGCCGAATTATTTCATCTTATTTGGAGTATATCAAATAAACATTACGGAGCGTTAAGGGGACTATAAACTACTGCGAAAAAGTCCCATTCGACTAATAGTAGTTTATTAGAAATTTATACGATCATTTTCAGCGCGAAGGTGGGATAGGAGCCGGCGATAAATTTCAACGTCTGAGCTTCTATACTCCAGGGACGAGGAAGATTACGGTTTCTCTATTTGTTCAGATATAGAATTGCTAATAATGCCAACTTAGCATGCCGTAATACTAACAATAATATTGGCTGCCGAATAACGTTTACTTTCGTGAATATCTAACGAACGGAAGAATAACTAATCTATATTAAATACTTCGCCTTATTGCGAGTAAAATTGTGTCGACGACTCGCTTTACAAGAATTTTCTTCAGCGTGCTGAAATACAATCTCTAGGTCGTCAGACACTTTTATCATTAATTTTACGATAAAACTTAATTTCCTAATTGCATTTTTTTGCTATCCAGTTGTAAAATAAAACTATATAATATTAAAGCTCCTATTCATTCATTCAAATAACTCATTCACCATTATTATCTCAAATCGTGACGTAAAAAGCGAAAAAACACAATTTTTGCAAGTTGTATAAGAATATTTTTATATTTTAATATAAAAATATTTTTCTAAAAAACAATATTTACAATCGGGAACTAAAACAATATTTCCTATTGATATAGAATAGATTATAAAATATATACCAAAAACTATCTTCTTGTTTCGAGCAGAAGTAAAATCATATTTATTTCTACATATTATTAAATCATATTTATTTCCACATATTATTAATTTGAAATTTTGTCATATTCATGAAATTTATTTCGTTTTTTATTATGCATAATTCATTTCCAGATATGTAATTGTTTATTGACGAAACAAAAGGAGAATTTTTAGTATATGTATTTTACAAAAACGGTTTTATCAATTGTAAGCATTATTTTATTAAAACATTTCCACATTAATATAATTTGCAAGAACTTTTATTGTGTATTTCCTTGCTTCTGACGTCACAATCTGAAATAGTAATAGTGAAAAAATTAAAAAATTAAAAATATTTCAATTAAAATATTGAAACTTTTACATTTAAACAAAAGATTCGAATTTTTCAACAGATAAATAAATCAGGATCGAAGAGATTTATATCGAGATTTCGATAGATTATCGTAGATGCCAATTAAAATGTAAAAGTTTAATATTACGAAAAAACCTTGTCTATTTTATTTTATTTATATTGTATCGTGAAACTTTTCTGTACAAATTGAGAAATTTAATATCCGCGGAACAAACGGGGTCGCGCTTAAACTCGCAAAACACATCGACGACATTAAGGATTAAACTCAGGTCGAAGTAGTTTGCGGACTTAAAGTCAAATAAGCACATATGAACGACGACAATCGTGCAGCCAGCCGTTTAAATCGACATAAGCGGATTGGCACAGGGCAATTAGGTATTGGAGCACATCAAGAGGCTTTACGTTCCTTCCTCGTCGCTTTTATAGAACGAGACCGCATTTACGTGTACATATATACATGATTTCGTCGCGAGATAACTATACTTGCGCGCAGTTTCTAAACGATCACGAGCGAGCACATAATCCTGGAATCGGCGGAGAGGGTGACTCGAGGAGAGGGTGGGTTTTAAACGTATGCGAGCACACCAGCTGCCCCGACCCAGACGGGCGCGAGAAAGACGGACGTGTTATCGCCTTGAACTGTAAAACTCGTCCCCCAGTCTCGGGGAATCGATCGTGATTTTACACGGTGCACTCGTGCAGCTCACGTGCTGCTTATAATTGGTTGATCGATGACACAAGCCCTAGCCCCGCTGATGAGGGATGCAACGTGGACGATCAACTTGTCGTACACGACACCGGGATCGTCTTATCGCGGAAGCGCTGAAACATGATGGATGTATCATTTCTATATATCACCGCGACGATCTTGCGCGCCACTTAATGAATGTGTGTCATGAATTCAATCACCAGGCTCAGGCTTGAGATATTGCCCGGGTATATACTACTTGTATTGCGATTATCTCCCGGTAAGAGGAATCCCTGATAAATATCGCATGGAGAATAATGATCGCATCGTAATTGCGGCAATAAATCGTAATTACGTTCACCATGGATTCGTAGAAGATATATAAATATAATATAGCATATCGGGATGATCCGTATTATAAGATGAGAAATGTCAGCTGTTGCCGACGGGAAAATTGAGACGCTGAGTTTGCTGGAATGAAAACGAAATTATCGTTCGTCTAACCTTTGATATTCGATATAAAAGACTTAAGACTGGAAGTTAGGGATAACAATGTAGGAACTTAAGATCGATACGAGGATCAAAAAGGGTATAAGGAATTCAGTGTGGTAGCTTCCATTTGATAATTGAGTCGCTCTAAAGCTGCAAGTGGTTGTTAAAGTAATAGATGTTGTTAATAATTAAACCTGTTACTTTTCTCTTTTTAGCTGTCAATGCAACATTCCGCGAATGATTTACGGCGAACGGGCGCGATTTGCACGTGATTTGCACACGTTGAACTCGAAATCGAATATGGAGATTGCGCGTACAAACGCGATGTGCATAAATATTTCAGCTACTTCCCGACATAATTACGAAGTCGGAAGTGTCCGCGTGATCTTTGAGAAGTCACGAAAGGGGCTCGCGTGCCGCGACACGGCAGAAATGGAGCAGTTTCCCTTTGTTATTTTTCGGACAATGGAAAATCCCCTTTCCTTCCACCGATGGGAGGAAAATCCGGTTTTCCCCATCCGTCGCTATCGCCAAAATCTCGTGGAATTTTAAATAACCGCGCGAATCATTAGTTTGAATCACGCGATGCACTCTTGCAGCATGGCCTGCTTTTCGATTTTAGTCGTGCCGAACGATACGACAATCCATTCCCCAGCGTGAGAACGGGGGATACTTCATATATGTGAGGGAGCCCAGGTAACACAAACACTTTCAATAAATATTCTACAAACATTCGTTGAGAATATTAAAATATTCTTACAATGTATTAAAAAATATTCTATAAACATACACAGAATGTCAAAATGAGACCAATTTAAATATTCCAGATAGGTCGGAATAAATATTCTTTTTCATATTTCTAAGAATATTCAGAGAACATATTTAGTTCAATATAAAGAATATTTACAAAATATTCTCTCTAAAACTAAGGAGTCTAATCTGTAATTCTTAACAACTGTATAACTATCGATTACATTATCATTGAGCAGGTTTTTGTACATAGTAAAAAAGCACAACGATAATGTAATGATATTGTACAGTCATTAAGAGTATAAAATAGGCCTGTAAATTATTATTAAAACTGGTAGATATATTTATATGTACAAATATACATATTTTAATAGAAAAGAAATAAAAATACAAAGGACATTAAAAAATTTTATTATATACATATGTGTAATAGAAATACATTTGTGATATCTACTAAGTTACAATATATATATACATATATATATAATATATATATCAATTCATGCGATTTTACGCAAAATGAGACTCGAAAAGTTAAAAACGTTTGCTCAATTTTCTAAAACAAAAAATTAATTGTTAAAAATGATCAAAGATAATATAAAGGTTAGGAAATTTATCTCATTCTAAGCAAACAGTGATGTAAGAAATTGATAATAATAGGTGCCTTCCAACAAAAGAGACACACGTACATGACACGGTGTGACATAGCTAGCTGTGCATCGCATTATATTCTTGTTGTTTGTCAATGTTAAACAAGGATGAGATGTTTACTGTGTTGTACTGAGTCGCTAATTGTTGGAAGACACCCAATATTTATCATTTTTATTAGTATATTTTTTTATTTTGTTTTTCTTATTAATTTTCATCTGAACTTACCTTTGGTTTAATTGCGTAAACTCACACGGCGTGTTCTTTTCAGTGGCACATATCGGCAGTATTGTGTTATTATTTTGATGAGAGATGCGAATGGGCGCAAATGCCTCAAGGCGCGAATGGCCACGAATGGACACGATCACATGGAGCACAAACAGATCGAGATTGAATGATTCATCGATATTGAATACCATCTACATCTTCAGTACATTTAAATATTCTATGAACATTTAGAGAACATTTAAACAACATGTTCTTATTACTAATTTTAACATATTCTAGACAGATTTACAGATTGTTTCTTATAAATAAGAATATTCTGTGAATACATATAATTGATTCTTTTGAGAATATTCTTGTAAAGGTATATTTGAAGCTTCATAGAATATTCATATAATATTGTGTGTTATCTGGTAGTAATCACTAGCTGAAATATCGTCCCGCAGATTACATGATTTTGTATGATTTTATCTGATTACAAATAATTTTTTTCACTATATATGAAGTAATTTGGTAAAATATACGATTTTATTTAATTAATTTTAATATTATACAATGATTTCTCGTAGTTGCATATGTAATTATCGGATTATACGTAGAGATTTTGTATGAATTTTATAATGATTTTTCGAGAACTCTGTCCCACGATTACATTAATAAGTGGTTACCCTCTCGCATATATGTGTCCCTACTGAAAACAAACTAATGATTAATTCGTTTCAATGGTGTACACGTCATCTGTTACATTCGATTAATTATTGCGAACGTCTGTGAACATTATTACCTTCTCGCGCGGAGGAGCTTATATACAAAATCGAGCGATTAAAAGTTTTGTAATGAGCGTCGCAAAGTTTGCCGTCCTTGTTTTCCCGCAGTAATATAATTCCTTATGGACGGAAGTAAGGCAGGAGAACATGAAATGTGGACACATTGACAAGCTTATGATGTTACGAGCCGACGGGTATTGCATTTTTTACGAACGATAATGCTATATCGACCGTAAGCGCGCCTTTAGATGCCAGTCCACGACTGCAATTCCGTTTCGGTTCATCTCTTATTTTAGATGCAGCTCTTGGAATATGCATTTTTAATCTTTAAACCTGGTGATGCATCCCGTAAGACACATTCTGTGTCCATTTAGATCTGCGCGAAATCTTGTTTTGAAAATTTGTGAAATTTTTCCAACTCGTATAAATCATGTTTTCAAGTCTCCTTAATTTATCATAATACTTTTATAAAATGCAATATAAAATTTTTCTTATTTCATGAAATGCAATATAAAGTCTCATGTAATATGTACAATATACATTTTTTTTAATGTTCTCTTCATTACAACACAGAATTTTTGTTCCACTTCTTTAATGTCGCCAATTTTAATTAATTGAGCGACTCTATATACAACATAGGAGGTTTGTAATTTTTTGGCATATGGAACCTCAGAAGGGAGGGATTAGTAAATGACGGATCGATATTTTTTCGTATACGAATGTATGTACATACCTTATGCAGGTATAATAAATATAAATGAATCTTATTATTAAGTTAAAATCGCAAGGTACGTTTCTCGAGAACTGTTTTTACAAATAAACTCGTCCATTAAAATATTTACATTTAATGGTTGCGCAAACTCTCTGATATCGTGCATTATTACCGTTATTCGGTCTTCAGGGCTCGCATCATTATTTATTTCTATCCCATATTTGTTAAAATTTGCACAAATTTCAATTTTTGTTTTTTAAATCTGACATGAGGAGTTCTACGTGCTAAATATTTGGCCCGTGGAATTTGCATATGTTCCATATAAAAGTTTCCGCTTATGTTGTAGAAAATTAATCTACGAGAATCAATGCATGTACTATAATAATTTTTAATGATTCATAAATTTCAGAGTGTTTCTTCGAAAATTACCTAGATTACATTCTTCGTGTACTATACATTGTCTGCTCATGTTCCATTTTTCGTGCTGGCAGGATTTACAGACCATTCATTTCTAGATATAGCGATCCATGATTCTTGTGGTTGTTTATCTCAGGCGATAAGCTGATGCACGCAACTGATACACGATCGCACACGCGGGTCATTTGCGTGAACTCTTGTCGTCGCCTTCGTGAAAACTCTAAAAATAAAGTCAGTCATGTGCCTCGTATTCATATCAGAAACTAGACCGTTTTGAAGATATATAGATCTGTCGATCTAAGGATCAAAGCGTCCAAGAATACCAGCCTGACGTAAGATCCAAATCTGCGATCAGGATTGAAGGACCCAGTAGAGCGAAAACGATCAGCCATTTGCAAGCATGATTCCAACAAATGTATTTTATACAGTCAAGATTAAGCAATCATCCTTGAACTCTTTATTCAATAATTGTAAGCGCTTTTAGTTATTAACGGTAAGCCAAAGCTAATCAGATAGTCAGCATAGGAAGGGATTAAGAAGTACAATAAATGTTTTAAAGATTATTCATTAGTATAATCACATTTTATTTATTATGTAATTCTTCTTTAGATAAAATATGCAGTTTTTGTTTTTATTGTGTAAAAATGATTTGTTTTAATCTGCGAAAGAATACCAGTTTAATTAATTTGTTATAAGATTGATTCAAAGTGCACGAAATGTTTAAACAAAATTCTTGAATGAACAGCATTCGTACTTGACATACACATTATGATTTATGTTATTCTTGCCAATTCAGATTGCTATTTCTAAGCATGGTAAACTGATAAATTTTTACGAGTTAACTTATAGGAATGTTGTTGGTATACATAATAATCGTTGATTCGTTTATCTTGACGTTATGCCAGACGTAGGCAAAATATTACCAAAGTACACACACATGGCAACGATTGTGCTACGCAAAACATCTATTTTCGCTCCTAAAAAGAAGACTTTTACCACGTTGTGAAGCGCATATTCATCGCGTTCATCGCACATTGACTCGCGTCATTTCCGCTGCACTCGTTCGAACTTTTATTGGCCTTCTCACTTTTTAGACAGTCAATATGTCAAATAAGCAAATGATGTCCTTTTACAAATAAATAACCAGCTTTGTGTTGTGAAGAAATTAGATCATCCAGCAGAATGCAAGCGTGAGGAAGTGCAATAAGTTACCTTCTCCGTTCGTCATTATAAAGACGTACATCTCTTTGTCTTTCTATTTCTTCATTGTAACACACACACACACATTCAACTATTATTGTAGATCTTAAATTACTTAAATAATAATGATTTAATTAAATATAATAAAAAACACAGTACTTTGTTTTAATATGATTCTTTAATCTAATTTGTAAGAATTAATTTATATGCATGGAATTATGAAATTCAGTGCAATTCCTTCTCTGAAGCGTACCGTAGAGGAAATAGAAAATATCTATAAAAATAAGAGAAATAATATAATGAAAAATATTGGAACAAAAGTTAGCTACTTTATTTATATTCATATCCACATGTTTTTCAAACTTGACAATAATACTATTTGATATAGAGCAAAGTTTCGCAGCTTTAAAAATCTTTTTTTAATTACGATTTTTAAAGAAATCATGAGCAATCAAAATCAAAATGTTCATTTTACTTAATCCGCAATAATTCAGTAACAAAAAAATTTTAGAAACGTTATCTAAAAATGGGATTTATGTAGGGAAAATTTTAAGCTTTCACGTAAGTCGAAAATTTTCATAAAAGACTCTGCACATTTCTTATGAAAACGAACCCTGGTTAAATTGGTTGAAATTTTGATATGAAACGTTTGATCATTGAAACTTTTAATCAACGAGCCAAAACCTACATCATATCAAAATTTCAGCCAATTTGACCGGAATCTCATTTCCATAAGAAGTATGCGAAGTTCTTTTTTTGGGCACAGGACATAAAATTGAGAAGAAAATTTTCCATTTTGTTCAGTTCGTAGTTTTCTACATGTAAAAATGATCAAATTCACAGAAATTCAGAAGACATAAGTGATCTTTTATTATAAAAGTAGAGATTATAAGCTTTAAAACCCTTTTTCAAATTTTGTTTACTTTTAATGAAGTTAGAGTTACGTAAATTTTGAAGTGCGTCGCGTTATAAATTTTTGTTCCACTCAATGTAATCCAATACATATTTTACGGATATATTTTTCAAGAGAAACTCTACAGAACGTATTTTTCTAAAATTTTCTAAAATTTCTGTTATTTTTTCAGGTTCCTGAGTATCGGTGGCAAACAGGTAGAGACGGTTGAACGAGCAAGGAACACAGCGGCGTGTGCTTACAGCGCTTATCACAGCACTAAAGATATCCCGGCGAGTTCACGTGGTCATCGGGAGGATCTGCCGATCGCCATGAGAGTCCTCGGCTCCGGCTACCTGACCACCTGTCTGCAGATCAAATACTACCGGTTGGATGATCAGAGCCACTGCGAGTGGGGTGCTAGATTGCACTGCATCGAGCTTGATTGTTCCAGCGTTGAGGGACGTCTGGTCACGGTGGATCGGGAGACGTACAGAAAACTCGGCATAGAATCTTAACAAAACGTCATCAGCCTCACCGATGTCGGCTCGTTGCCAGTTCATTACAGCGAGAAACCCGACGCCGCGCCGCGTAGTGTCACAATCGATGCCTCTCGCACGCGATTATCGGCTGAATACTTTATGCCCGTAAATGATAAATACAGGTTGTATCAAGGCTTATGTTCTGATGAATTAAGGCTAAGTACTTTTGTCTAGAAAACTTCAAAATAAGCATAAAGATAGAAACGATAATACCAACGAGTGTAATTTGACGATTTTTAATTTGAAAAAATTACAATACATAATTTTTTTATTAATGTAAAGAACAGAAGCCTAAAAATTCTGCCTCTATTTAATTATAGATATAAATATGACCCTAATATTTCGAAAATTGGCCCTAGGATGAACTTAATAAAATTAACCGCCAGGTTACTCTAAATTGAGAGAGGCTTTAGTATTTTCAATTCAGTACGATAAATATAAATTGTGTCGAAATTTCGAAGCATTATCACGATCAATGGATAATTGAGATTAATCGTTGCTAGTTGGCTAACAATATTGCGTTAATGGTTGGCTTAAGTTATTTAAAGAAGCCTGGCGTCTGATCTTTTGAGGCTTCTTCTCATCGGAAACATCGAAACTTTATATCAAAAAATTGTCTAAACAAAATTAATTAATTAAATTATCATTATAATATTCTTAGAAATTAAAAAAAATTGGGATTTAAATTTATCTTGTATTTAGAAATTCCAAAGCTATTATGTGTTAATACAGTATTAATTGCACAACCAGTAATACCTATAATAGTTACATACGTTAATTTTTCGATGTAAAATAAATCATAAACATCTAATGTTGGGAGATATAATTAATTGTAATTGTTTTCTCTGGCCAGGGATTGCCACAGGAATTAATACGATAGGAAAATGAACTCTAATACAAATACATCGATAATAGTGTAGGTACTTATTACATATCGACATATGTATATATACGTACCACGTATCGAACATACACGCGTCATTGATTTCTGATTAATACTTAATTGTGAATACGAATCAATCGCGAGGCAATATGCCGCGGTGAGGAAGAGAACGGCGTTTTTTTATAATTGAAAGCATCGACAGAAGTCCTATTCATATCAGCGGTGCGACGTCAGCTTTCATGAAACTTTGCGATTGAAGTGTACGATGCACTTTTACGAGTATTGTTCGCTTTGATGTTATTTTTTATTTACGATAATTCTTGCTTATTTTTCTTTTTTATCTTTGCACTTCTCGAAAGATAAAGGATTATTATAAAACTCGTCTTTGTCTTGATGTATGCGTTATTGTGTACGTTAATTTTAAAATCGTCCTCAGAGCGCTACGATAGGAGCTTGAAGCTTCTTAGTACTCGAAAACTTTGGCAATCAGTGAAATGACCAATTAACGCCTTTACACTTACTGTAATTATGCAGGTCGTTTCTACTTTCTCTACTCGTTTAATGGATTAACAAAGTTATCTTTACAAGTTGTATAAGTGTATTGCATGTACAGGGTGATTCTCGATTATATGTTAAAACTTCAGAGAGTATATTTAAAACAGGGGAAAAATGTCATCTATGCGAACACGGATTAAATGTTATTTTCAAAGTTGGTATTGGCTTGAAACACGTGCATGTATACAGGGTCCGCCACCAAAATCCGGACAAATTTAAATTTGAATTTCCCACCTCATTTGACTTCAGCGATAAGTCGTTGACATTCGGGCAACTCAGAACCACTGAAATATAGGTAACCACTGAAATATAGGTATTATATTTCAGTGCTCAGAACTCACATGGTTGTAGTAAACGCTCATAACTTCAAAATATCCGAACAAATAAGATCGAGTGCGGAGTATAACTGAAGAGCGAGGATAATCGAAGGCCTCTTCGCGCGCTGGGCGTTCGCAGACCGAAATTATTCGATTCTTCGGATACCCTGAGATCGACTGTTTATGATGTTGCGGCTAAATATTTGGCTTCGGAGACGTCCGAAAAGGGTTTTGCCAATCCGACGAGAAAGAAGCATTCGAAAGAAAAGTCGGTAAGAACTCCAGCAATTATTGAAAGGGCTCAACAGCTCATCTCAGAGGACCCTGGACTGTCTGAGAACGTTGACAAAAACATTGAATGTGAGTGACACTATAATGCGTCGAATTGCTGAAGAGGACCTACGCTTCAAGTCCTATGTAATAAAAGTTCGACAAATGCTCTCCGAATCTGCCAAGATGAACAGAGTTGATCACTGTAATTTGCTTCTGTGTTCGTTGAAAATGAAGCTACGAGACGCACCAATTTTTTCTGGATGAGAAAATTTTTTCTGCTGATGCCAAGGCAAATCGGAGGAATGACCGTTGGCTCGCCCACTATCCCGAAGATGTCCCCATAATAGCTAGGATAAAATTTCCGCCCTCTGTTCACGTCCTAGGTGTCGTTTCCAGTGAGGGTCATGTCATGCTACCACATTTTTTTCAAAAGAAACCATCAGTAAAGAGATTTATTTACGCGTTTTGATGACCCGTGAAAGCCGTGGATAGACATCGTGGCCGCCAGGAGGCCGTACATCTTCCAGCAGGACAGTGCGCCGGCGCACACGAGTCACTTGGTTCAAAACTGGCTGTCGGATAATATGGACATGTTTTGGTCCAAGGAATTCTGGTCGCCGAACAGTTCAAATTTGAATCCGTTGGACTACTTTGTGTGGAGTACCATTAAACGAGTGATCAACAAGTCGAGACAACGTAACATCTCTCCAGGCCGCTATCGAGGCGGCATTCGTCAATATGGACAAGGACGCGTTGCAGAGAACGTATCAGCGCTTCAGACCGAGGATCGAAGCAGTCCTCGAAGCAAAAGGGAGTTACATAGAGTAATTTTACTTTAAAAGGATACCAGGATAGTGATGTACAAAAGTTTTTTTTGTAATATTTACATTTTGACGAATAGAATTTAGTTTAAACAAATTGTTCATTTTGTCCGGATTTTGGTGGCGGACCCTGTATATTCATATACACGCGTGTATTTTTGTCGTACTGCGATGATAGTTTTGCTCATTCTAATGTAGGTGGCGAAAAGGAATTTATAATAAATTAAGTTTCCGAGATGCAATGTTTGGAATTTTTTGCGATTTCTTAGGGTACCGTCCTATGGCGCCTAAAATCAGATTTTTCGCATAATACGTATCGATTGATCAGAGGCGTCCCACGTTTTTAGTTACGTCTTTGCATAATGCCTCTGATTAATTATGTGAAAAATTGGTGCCATGAGACGGCATTCCTAGTCCAAAATTCATTTGTGTATAATTAAAGATCACTCTGGTATGAAATCTAAAAGAAATATATATAGGTACATTATTTACATACAATAAATACAAAAAATCACATGTCGTATCTGTTTTGTTATTTTACATTCATAATTGCGGTGGCACGTAGTGCAGCAATGCGTCCGCGATATTTCTGTTCCTCAACTTCTCCACTTGCGTACGCATTCGCACCGCCAGCCCATTCATGCGCTTCAGATACATCGCCGAGTGATGTACCGCAATCGTGAAGGGGATTGGACACCATGTCTTTTTGACCACACCGCGAACTAGCGCCGTGATGTAGCTCTCTATAAGCGACGTATCTTCCTCCTCCGGATAGAGATATTCCTTTAACGGCAACACCAACTTCTCCGGCGACAGTTTCAGGTATCGCAACGCGGCCGCGTGTTCCGACCACAGAAGTTTCCGGTAGTGTGGATCGTGTCGTTGCGCCACTGGCACCAGCAATATCATGGCGAAACCGTCATCGCCGTACGAGTTCGAATAGAAATGCTCGCACAATGCCGTGAACAGATCAGTGAAGGAACTCAACCCTGGTAGCTCCGTTCGAAAATTCAATTGCGTGTGATATCTTTTCAGCAGATTTGACAGGATATTCAGCAATAGCATGGCCACATCGCTGTCCAGGTAGATGGTGTCACACAGGTACACCAATATCAGTCTGCTAAATCTCAAAGTAGGCGATAGCTTCTCCATGAGATCAGGCAAGACTAATGCTAGACTTAGCACTGTCAAAACGCTATCCTTATCCTCCGACTGCAACTTGATATCGTTTTTGGACTTTGTATATATGTGAACTAGCGGTAAGAAGAGCCAGTCCTTCGGCATTGCCGCTTGATTCCAATCACCGTTCGCCGCGATGTATCTCTCATACAACGACGTCGCATCGGAACGCAAGCCTGTCTTGACCTGATCTACCGTGGACGTCAGGTCTAATTTGGCTAATTCGTTGGTGATTACCTCCAAGTTTACTTTTTCGTTCGACAACGCGATTTGAAGGAGCTTTCTCACGTGATCCGTGGCATCCGCAGGTAACGTCGAGATGAGTTTGATGGTGATCTTCCACACAATTTGAGCTGTCCGATTGTTAATTGTGTCTCCAAGGAGGAATACTGCTCGTACTACTGTTGTCAAAAGATATAACTCCGTTCTGCTAAACCACGACCTTTCCAAACTCCACTCGGTCTTTTCCAAATCTTCTATATATTTGAGGAAGGATGGGTGTTCCAGTATCAAACAAATTTCTGCTACGCGAGAATTATTGTAAAGTGTATTGAATATCGTCGCTAAGAACGGTATGCACGAATTCACTGATACAATCGGTTGTAACTCTCCGTTCTCTGTGAGAACATACAAGTTTGGAAGACAGGACGGTTCCCGATTTGTAGTCGCGTTATTTATATATGTTTCCAAATACAAAAAAAAAAAGAGTACGCTTACCGAAGAGTTAAGAAAACGTGCTGGTTGGATAGCCACGTTGTTTTAAATGCCGATATCTCATCAACGGCCGATAAACTCTCCGCAATTAATTTCATAACACCCCACTGAAATTTATGATACTTTATATGCCTTCTCGAATATTGATAAAGATAATAAAAGCTAATAAAAAAAGCATACCACAAGAAATAAATATAGTCTTAATATTTTTAAATATTTATTAAGTGATTATTTCTTAATGACACTTGATAAACTAATTATAAATAGATCAATAATAATTGCTCTCACCTTTGGATTAGACACCGACGAAAATTGCGTGCTCCACTTCATTAGCAATGTAGAAATGTTTGGTTTTAACATTTTTTCGTGACTTGCTACAGCAATCAACGCCGCGGCGTGCTCGCACGCCAACTCGGACGTGTTTTGAATATCATGATTACTTAATAACAGCTGTAATTGTGATATAAGAGTCAACTGGGCACCCGTGACACTGTCCAAACCTACTTTGTAATGCAGTAACATTCGCCAGAGTCGCAGGCTCTCAATGCTGAGATTTATGTAATCTTTCCTGCCGAAATATTATATATTTAATAAAATAAATATGTGAAAATTATGTACAGATGTATAGGAAAGCTTACCCTGTCTCACTGCTAATGTACGTTAGAATGGCTTGGATAATTTTAAAGTTATCTAATTTCTGTGCGATGGGCTTCTTACCGTACGTGACGAGAACGCGACATAATTTAATCGCTGTAACTACAGGAATCCCATAAACATTATTTATCTCATCCTGCATCGCTGTAAAAAATTCCAGGCTCTTTAAATAATCTATCAATAATTA